GACTTTACAATATGCACAGGATCAGAAGACCGAGTACGGGAAAAAAATCATCTATCCGCTGTCAACTATTTCGTAATTTATTCACGTATTTATTAATTTTATTAGTGAGCTTCAAGTCCAGGATTTATTATTTTTGTATTTCCATTTGCTGGCCCTATACTTCCATTTAAGTCGTATGGTAAACTAGAGTTTATTAATGATTATGTTGAGACATTTTTCGTTTTTTAAAAACGATTAATTTTTTTATGTTTGTATTCAGTTTGTGCTTATTATATTTACTTTTACTGTATAATTACGTGGGTGTACAGTTGCGTATAATATGACAACAATCAAGCTATAATTAATGTAAAGTTAAAAAAAATATTTGATGTAATGGAAGCATTTTATTTTTATTTTAAATATTTGTTTATGACTTTTTAAATTAAAGATCTTTTACTGTACAGAAATTAAAATACAGTTGACTTTATTAATTATTGTAAGGCATAAGAAACGAGAAATCAAATTAAGTAATTAAAAATTATAAACTTTAATGCATGTCCTCAAATGTCCCATTCACGCTCACAGCACGTCCCATACCTGGTGGGACATGTGAGCGCGAATGTTCGTCATCGGGCCATGAGGTGAACTACATGCCCTGAACGTTTAAAGCATCGTGTGACCGGAAAAGGCATGGCAGGGCAATGCACGAACATTTGTCACATCACATACGCGACTCGCCATTCCTAACACGGTCACACGATGCCCTAAGTGCCCTGCAGCGCGAACGTTCATAAGTTACGGAATGGACTTAATCCGTAACAACTATTAATATTAACTTTAATTTAAATTAATCATTTAATCGTTCATTGACCTTTATCATGACCTTTATCAAAGCCCTAGATAGCCAGATCAAGCTATCTCTGATAGCTTAGAAATAGTTATCTAGAATGTACTGACTGGACAGAAGACACTTATCAAAACTTAGGGAACAATAACCCTTTTCAGCAAAAGAGCACTTTCTCACAGACTTCATATCAATTCTAAAAGATAAGGATATCAATTCTTAATAGTTATAACTTCTTTTACATGTATATATTGTATTATTGTATACCATATATGTAATTGTTTCAATAAACATTTTGGAGGGTTATGAAAAAAAAAAAAAAAAAAAAAAAAGAAGTTATAACTTCATTCACAGGCTTCCTAGACCGACCAGAATTGATTCATCCCCCCCTACTGTTTCTGAGCATATAACCCCTATCCTGCTAAGACAAAACCGCTTATTCAGTTGCATTCTTGAGTCAGACTCTTCACTGCAGGAGACCTGGAGTGAACTGATGTAGTCAACTCATATATCCATACTATATTACTTATATTGTATTTTAGATGCCATTTGTAACATTATGAATAAACCCATTATTTATAAAGTCTCCACTGTCCCCGATTCGTTAGGGCTCGTGTGGCTTCGGCTTTAGATATGCCAATAGTTCAAAAAAAGCTTGTCCAATTTGGCTCAAAGTATGATAAAACGTAGATATTGGTGAAAAATTAATATAGCGTCAATTTTATTGAATTCTGTCCAATACATTCTCTTATATGTGAGCAAACGTGTTTTTCTTGATACGTCTATATCTCTAAAACTGCACTCTCGATTTGGCTTAGGTTGTGCTTCCAGATCAGGAAATGTATTATTTGATACGCCCATAGTTTAAAAACTGTGCGTCCGATTTGACCCAGACTTTGAGGAAATTTAGAAAATAGTATAGAAATTATCTAGTATCAATTTCATCGAATTCCATTAATAAATTAAAATTAATATAAATAATTGTAAACAATATAATGATTCTGAAATGTGGAAGGCCTTGTTCATGCGGAGTTAGGTTGAGACAATATATTTATGGGGTTATAAAATTTTAGGATTTATTCAAAAAGTTAATTTATACTATATTGTTTGGTCGATTCCACACATTACTGGCATGACACTGCCGTTATTTAAATGTCGTTTAATTTTCAGTAAATGTATTGCTACTATGTAACAGAGGAAAATAAAATATGAAATTATACTAATTAATCATAAAGGAATAAGTAGTTTTTATACTCTCCCGTAAAACAACCAACATTTACATATAACCTTGTTCACTAACAGTTGCGATATGCATGTTCAGTATGTACTGGGATTTTTTTACTCATACATGTTGTTAATACTAAATATGATTGTATATTAGTTTTGGAAAATTGTCTGTAGCGATTAATAAGTATGCTGTGTTTAAAGCAACCCAATGTAATTGGGTAGCACCATTTTATGATAATAAAGTGATTCTCTCACGATTCATCAAATTCGCAATTTGAAAATGTGAAACTCTTCTTCATATTTACATGTAATATTTGGAAATATTGGCGTTTTTCCTCTCATATATAATCTGTTATAAGCCACTACACACGAATTAGACCAGCCATCTATTTCACAACCAAATGAGATTATGTTAAATATATGTACTGCCACAAAACGTAAACATGAAACTGTTTTTGAGTGCTGGTTATATTTAGCCTTGGTTGGTCTTTTTTGGCTGTCTTTCGAGTGATCTTCTATGTTTTACTTCTGATGATGCCAAAAAATTGATTGATTAATTATTTAGTACTATTTGAGTTGCCCAATGATGCCCATCTCCCCCACCAAAGTCGATGGCGCATGAACCTCCCTTCTCTCAAAACATTTTAGTGCTCTCCTCTTCTTAAAAACAGTGCAAGCGAAAGTATAATTTTAAAAATCTTAGACCATATACAATTATACTTCCAGTATTTTTTTCTTCTTCTTCCCTTCCTCGCCTTTTAGGCTATACGGGTTTTTTCCCTGGCCAGGGGTGAGGGCGGGAGATTAATGCTAGAGTTAAAATCCTCCTGACACCGTAATTATATTATTAATTAATTATACCTTAGTTAATTAATGTAAGGCTGCTTAATTAATGCTCTGCGAGTGCGGTGAGTGTGTACAGAATGTGGAACATATTCTACAAACGTGCATGACCTACTCCCAGCAAAGGAAGGTGATTTGGTCCTCTCCGACTGAATTGGAAAGGAAACTATATGGAAGCCTCGAGGACCTGAGGAGGACTACCGAATTCTTCATTTTAATTCCTAACCTAGTCATATAAGGAATAACGCAGAAGAAGAAGAAGAATTACATTAATAATTAATATAAGCTCCAATTGAAATATGTTTATTTTCTGCCTCATTTCCCAACAATTTATTCTTAACAATTAATTTAATTTTAATTGCTCAATGAAAATTGATACGGAACCATCTTTACATTATTTCTCAAATTTCTTTGATCACTCAACCAAATCTAAATATATTTTTTGAAAGAAAATTACATATGCCCACCTGCAAGCAAAAATAGGGGATCGAATTAGATAAAATTGATATTATATCATTATTTCAATAATTCCTGATTTCTTATCTTCTTTAAGCCGATTCGAACGATAAAACAATAAATGTGTGCTTATTTGTTTTAGGTGAAGTATTTATAATAATATGAAATAAGACTGTGTTTTTTACTTCACCACATTTGTTTCACTTTTACATATACATCGGCTACGTTTCGGCTAATATGCTGTTTTCAAGCCATTGTATTTAATCATTTTTATTACATGTAGTCCATAATTAAATTCATATAATCAGCATGATTAAATAAAATGGATTAAAATGGTATAATAGCCGAAGTATATGTATAGTGGAATAAATGTGGTGAAGTAAAAAAACACAGTATTATTTTATATTAAAACCAATAAAATTAAAAGCTTTTGTGTCTTATTTTTATGATTGCAAATTGTAAGAATTTTGTAAAATTTAATAATGTGTGTAATATCCTCTATTAGGCACTGAAATGGTGTTATTATAACTTATGTATTGCTGAAAATACAGAAATGTGACCCGTAAGTAATCATAACAACTTTCCAATTTGTATTCTCGTTTAAGTGCCCGCAGCATCATAATCTTGAGAGTTACCGGCGGGACACTGTCGGCGCTGGTGCTGCAGATCGTTTTAAAAAGGCATAAGAAATGATACCAACTTTCCTCAAATGGCTACGAATAGTTTGAGGTGATACAAATCTTGGCAGGACAATCGACAATTTACTTACGCTCTAACAGATCGCTTATTGGTAATTTCGGATTATCTGAATTTCCCTTGAGCCCGGAAGACCACAATCTGGGAGACACCAACAGCATCGGCGATATACACTTGCATTTTCACGATAATATTACGAACTTCTAGTTAATAAAAAAACAAAAAACACTTCTTTCAATCATTAAACAGAATTAAAATTGAGAAAAGTCGAAAACAACTGTTAGTTGACACAATGTGTATTCATCATGTTGATTCTCCTTTGTTAATCATTTATTTTTATTTATTTATTGAGTATTACAACAATCTGTCACTTGGACAGTGTAATTTATTAAAAATAAAGAATACTTATGTTTACCAACAAATAAGAAAATCCCTAACCAGAAAAAATATTTTAATTAAAATCAATAATATAAAAATCAAATATAAATATCCCTCCTATTCATTTTTGAGCAATCTATATTAGGCATATCATAATGCGTTTGCGCATTCGGAAACGGAAGAATTGGCTGGAATAGTTCAAAATTTATATGGGACTATTTAGGTACTAATCCATTAACTAATTATGAAAATGACGGGTTAAATACACACATTTCGTCTACTTCTGGATAATCAAACTTTTAAACTGTTATATGTTTTATTAAAATGTCTAAAAGTCTCGAATTCGTTATTAAGTTAGTTAATGAATTATAGTTCCTCATTGAAAAAATATTTTCTCTAATATGTATAAAATAATAGTTTTATGGTGGTATAAAACATATATAATAATAATATATGTCAATATAGCATTCTAGAGTAAAATATAAACTGAAACATATTTTATAAAATATTATGTACGTAGCTCCTTGGTCTTCCATATTATCCTCTAAGCTATCAAGCACTAGCGCTTGACGCGGTAGATTTATCAACTTACAGTTTCAAAATGAAAAGTAGATAATGTTTATATGCAGGTTTCTTCATTGTTATAGCATTGGTTAATTGTCAAATTGTCGAAAATATTTTTAAATCTCACTATGTTTTATTGATTCTTGGATATGGCAGCCTTGGAAGTTCATTTAATCAAAGCTGTTCAGGATAGTGACATAAATGAAGTTATATCTCTGATTGAAAAAGGTAAGATCTTAAATTTGAAAATATCACTCTGATTTTGTAAACTTGTTTTGAAGTTTTTATTATTATTTTTCACTCAAATTTATTTTCTTCTTTAGGTGCTAATATTAATGTCTTTACTTCTGGAAGAACACCTTTAGCAATTGCTGCTCATCAGGGCAATGTACCAATGCTAGAATTGCTTCTTAATTGTGGCCATTTTAAACAAAAAGTAGAAAAAACTCCAAAGAAGAAATCTAATAAAAACGATAGTTCGAGGTCTACCAGTGAACGAACAGCTGTAAAAAAGAGGAAAGCCATTGAGGGAAATAATGGCTATTATGAAGTTATATATGATGATAAATCAGAAGATAGTGAGTCTGATGTAAATAGAAATGTCTCACTTGATGAAGCTGAAACTCCTGAAGGAATGGATAACCTCGAATGGGATATGGAACTTGAAGAAGATGAAACTCCAGATTATGAAGATGCTTGGTCTGACCAATATAGGTGGTATGCTAAAATTTTAGCAAAGTCATGTTACGTGCCTTCAGATCTCCCATATTCTTGTGATGTTAATCTACAAGATTCGGTTGGACGCTGTGCCATACATTATGCTGCAGAGTATGGGCATGTTAATGCAGTAAAAGTACTTATCAATGCTGGTAAGTACTTATTTTCTTAGTTATTTTTTACTAATAATGAATGAAATAGGGATGTTACAAGATTTTCCTACTCTTGATGCCACTGAATGCATCTATTGTTTTTTATTTAGTATTATTTTTTATAATTATATTATATTATTTATTCAATTATATTTGTATCTATAGTTATGTTAAGAAATGATCATGATATATAAACATATTATTCGTCGTTTAATTATTTGGAATTTTATATTGTCAGATTCGGTTTTCTTTTTTCTTAGCAGAAACACAGAGCTTATTTTAAACAAGAACTTAATCTATTTTTCTTTATTTTTTTTCTTAAAAGTGTAAATTTATAATGTTTTACCACTGTTTATAGTTTTAAGTGCTTTGCATATAGGTATATTTGTTTTATATATAGTATGTTAAACAAAAAGGATGGCGACTGACCTGGGAACCCTGTAAATATATTTTTTTTTCAAATTGGAAATAAATATACAGTCAATATCGTTTATAATGACCTTGAAGGGGTAAACTTTGTCGTTATAAATGACCATCGACGCTATATTTCTCCACCTTTGACTGTCAATAATGGCATTGGTCGTTATATTGAAATCAAACAAGTGTCATGAGTACAAGTTAAGCAAAATGGAATTAAAATGTTTTTTAAAAATAAAAACAAACCTAAACTATTTATTATTTGTAATATATATTATACATCTTTACATCTTAGATCAAGATCTAGCTGGCAAGAACTCATTCGTTTGACCCGTGGTGCTCCTATAAGAGCATTTATTAGCCAGAAATGTCACAGTTGGTATTATGCATAATTATTATGCTGTAGTAATAAACAAATTATATTTCTTATAAGAAAGTAAATTAATATTAGAATCCCCCGTAGCTAGTATCGCTAGCTAGTTTCTAATGTAGCTCTATTAGTTGTAATAGAGAAAACCAGAGCATACTTGTCAAGTATCAACTTTTATCTCCTATCAGTTTATAAAGGTAAAATAAAAGCGGTAATAATAAATTACTGAAAGTTAAGTTTTCTAAAATAAAAAATCCTAATCAAGCTTAAAAAAATGCTTCCTCTCTCTGAAACATATTTTTATTTAAAAGACTGATTTTTTTTTTTTTTAATCGAATCATTTTGTTGGCAATTTTTTTTCATGTTTGATAAATAAATGAATTAGAAATTATACATTTTTAATATTTGTGTACCTAGACATATTTATCAGGGAAACTATCATTAAATAGGGAAAAGTCAGGGAAAACTATCATTAAATAGGGAAAAGTCAGGGAAAACTGTCATTAAATAGGGAAAAATCTGGGAAAACTATTATTAAATAGAGAAAAATCAGGGAAAACTATCATTAAATATGGAAAAATCAGAGAAAACTTTATAATTTAATAATGTAATTTTAAAGCAATCCTAGAAAAAAAATTTCACAGCCGCTGAAGCAACTCATGAAATTATCAAATATGATGGTGAAGGTGTCTTAGACCAGCTCGCGGCATTGGCATTGGTTTGAAAAATTTAGCAGTGGAGATAAGACTTTGGAATGGAAGAAGGGCTCCGGGCGACCATTAATGGATATTGATGATGTTCTGCAGGAAACTGTTTAGTCAAATCCGTCTATGAGTACTCGGGAACTTGCCAGGGAGTGTGTTGTGTCTAAAGATTCTGTTAGTCGCCATCTACTCTCCATGGGGAAGGTAAAAAGAGCAGTAGTTCCTCATGAACTCACTCCTCAGCAATCAGCTAAGAGGTTAGAAATTTGTGATAATTTATTAAATAATCCTTCTGATATGAGACTCCTTCTTCATCCACCATATAGTTCAGACCTCGCACCATCGTATTACTACTTATTTAGATCCATGGTTCTTTTTTTTCTTCAAGGGAAAAAATTTATAATTTTGCGGAAGTTGAATTTTCCATTCCAAGGTCCAAGTTCTTTGACAGTCATCCTGAAGAATGGTATCAAGCAATTCGCTATCAGATGGCTAATGATAGTAGATAACAATGGACTATACTTTGAGTATTAATTGTATTTTATATAAAAAAAATAATAATACGAATATTTGGTTGAAAAACGATCTTTTTTTTTTGTACACTATTAATTATTTAATGATCTTTTATCTTTTTCAAAAATAATATCTTGTGAAAATCGATTATTAAAAAAATATACATTTATCATAAGCATATCTGTTTTTTTATAATTATTGCATTGTTAATTAACTTTCATATCATGATTTTTTTTGTTCTTATGATAAATAGAAATAGACAACCTTTGGCCCAGAAATATTTCTTCAATGATAAATTTACAATGGATTGAAGGAGTGAAAAATGAATATGATAACAATTTGTAAATTGACAAACTAAATGTTTAAAAGAAATGGAGCATTTTTGGCAAACTGTCTCATTGTCCTGTCTAAAATAGTATTTGTACATGATAAAGTGGTATGAAACAGCTTGTTTAGCTGTACGTTACAGAAAATTCAGGAATTTTTTTCTATAGTGTGCTTACTTATTCCTCTCCATTCCTTGCCAAGCTACTAGGAGGATGTTTGGTATTGTGGCTTTATGTGATAGTACCTAAACTGACTATTAATACACAAATACATACATAAGTGGCGCGACATCCCGTCAACGAGATTGGGTCTCCTCTAAAAGGATCCACCAGTTTATTTGGTCGTTTGCTGCAGCTCTCTAGTTTCTATTAATATAATTATGTAACTTTTTTGGACAACCTTATCTTAAATTGTTAATATTTTAACGACTTTTATATAGTCATGAGTAATCATGAAGGTTCAGTCTGGTTTCATTTGAATTAGATGGTCTACTGGGAACAATGTGCTTGTCTTACTATATTCAAGATATGAGTGATTAAAAAATAATCCATGAAAATTAAAATGTTTTCAATTAAACAAACACATATGAGTTGAGTTAATGTAGTTTTGTTTATGCATTGTTTTAATCTTTTACTGTATGTAGTTTTTCCAAAAATCTTCTGTAACCTGAACACTACTGTCTAGCAATTAGCTCTATTTAAAAGAAACAAATATTTATTTCCAGAAATAATAAAATATTGTGTTTTTCTGACTAATCAAAAGTAAACCAAGAATTCCACCCTGATAACAGGATCTGCATGGAAAGGAAATCGTTCTAAAGAGTAGAAAAATATAGAAATACCTTGACTCCATCAATATTCTCAATGAATGATCAATGTACAAAAATAGACAAGTGTATAACAAGTGCAAACAGAGGTTTCTTCTCGCTTTCAAAGATATTGAAATCCCGAAATATCTCAAGAAATATCAAATTAAGGTTGTACAATGCTATGATAAAGCCAGTTCTAATTAGTTGCTGTGAGACCTAGGCACCAACCAGCATTCTAGAAAGAAATATTTAAAGATTTGAGAGAAAAATCCTCCGCACAATAACTGGATTGATCTGGGATCAGAGTACTAACACATGGAGAAGAAAGACCAATAAGGAGCTACTTACAGATGCTGTTGAATCAATATCTCATGATATGAAGGCACGAAGGTTAAGATGGACAGCTTGGAGCAATCCATCTGGATGCCTGTACACGACGATGAATGCCTCAATAGCAGGCAAAAGACCACGTGCAAGATGGATAGATCAAATCAACAAAGGTGCAATAGAGCTGTATGCATATTAGTTGTGTATTAAATGTTCTTTTATATAAGTAAATTAACTCATAAATATCATATTAGTGATTTTTTTGTGTAGATAAAAAATGATAAGTTAAGAGAAAAAAAAAAGTTTGTGAGACCTTAGAAGACTTATGAGACAAGTGTATCAAAGGTTTACTTCTCTTTTATTTTTAACAATTGCTTTGATTTGTAACTAGATTTATATAATTTTAGTTTGTCTTAAATAATTTTAATTTCAGCTTCCTCATTAGAATATATAATATTTAATTCATAATTAATTATTAAATATTTTTATTTATATGTTTATTTTTGCTTTTCAGTTTGTAATATTTTTAATATTTCAGGATGCAAAGCAGATATGGGAGACGTAGATAGCTTGACTCCACTTCATTTAGCTGCCAATGGTGGGCATTTAGGGGTCGTTGAAACCCTTCTTTCATCTGGCTGTCATGTAAATGCTAAGACAACAGATAAATTGTCTCCATTGCACTATGCAGCTGCAAGAGGGTAAAATTAATTAAATTTAAATTTAAAAATAGTTGTAATAGTAGAGTGTTTGTTGTCATTCTGTTTCTACATTCTGGTTAGAAAAGTTTTGGTTGTATACCCAAATGCCAGATATGGTGAAATGAAAATAAATAAAGAAAAATGTTACCGAGAGGTTGCCAGTTGGCAAAAAAGAACACTAGGGCCTGCTTACCGGGCCAGTTTCTCCCTCTTTCTCCTTACTAGTAACAGTATCTTATTTGGTCAAGGAAGATCTCTTATCCAGTGCCTTTTTAATCTTCTCCTCATATGCTTGCGGTGGTCATATTTCTTATTAGTACCTCTGTGTAAATTAATACAAAATCGAAGATAAATAGTCATTATGTATACAGTAGGCCATATCCCCCTACTGTTTTCAAGCTTAGGTAAATAATTCATTATTTGTATTTTAAATATTATTTAATTTTAATTTGCTTTTGACTCATATGTGCATAGGCTCTGCCTTGATACGCTTTACCACTCTAACCATAAATAAATCATGTAATTTTTCTTTTGTTGATGTAACCTTCCATTATAGAATTTTATTTGTTATTTCGTTGGTTCTGTAAAAAGAAATAATTACACAAATTAAGTATTTAACTGACTATTTTAAACGTAATGATGTGAATAGCTACAGGTATGTAAAAAAAGTGAATAGGTAATTTTTATTTTATCCCTTCCATGTAACAATGGCAAAATTAACATTTGTTTCAAAATGTCTTATAAAATATGTTCTCCTGAACTGTAATGAAGTGTTGAATTCACTTTTTATAGAACTCCTAAAGATTTCTTCATTTACCAAGGTTAAAAAAATACTGAAGAAGCGATAGAATTTCTGAATCTGTTTTATTTTCATAGAAATTGCTGATTCTCTATTATTTACCTTTTTTACTGATCCTATTTTATGTAGCCAATGAAGTCTTTTATTTCTTTATTATAAGAAGAGTCACTCTTATTTATTTGTGTATATTTGTATATTTTAATCTTAGCTGTTTCACTTATTATTTAATGATATTCTGCTTCATTTTAGGTATACTGAAGTAGCTAGCTCTTTGTTAAATGCAGGGGCTAATGTTGATTCTCTAGATGAAGGAGATAGAACACCTTTGATATTAGCTGTTTCTCGCAATATTTATGATGTGGCAAAAATTCTAGTCAATCGTGGTGCTCGGGTTAACATCGAAGATGTTAAAGGTAAAGTTTATATTGATTATTGAACCAAATGTAAACTATCCTATTTTACGGACTCTTTTAGTTGATGTTTTTAATTAATCTTGAATTTTTCTTTTATTTATTAAATAACTTAAGTATCAAGATAATAAGATAATCAATTTAGTTAAAAAATATTCTGAACTAATATCACACGATTTTATCTTTTTTGTTATAAACCTAAATGTATTGAGATAGATCCATTGCATACTCCATTATTTTTTTTATTAGTCAGATTAGTGTTTCTGGCTAAGAAAAATTTATTTTCTAATTTACAGTTTTACTTGCAACAAACCTAATACATATATTTTCATACTGTGTAACTAATAATGGTCTGAAAATGGTAAATTTTATTTTTTAATAAAGAAGGTAAAGATTATAGATAATAGAAGAATGTGCTACAATAAAATTGAAATCTGCTTATGTGAGTTAAGTTACTTATTCTCATAGCATAACTCATCAGTTCTTGAGTTATATTTCCTAAATCCATATTGATGGTCAGGTATTATTTAGTTTTCCATTAGAGTGTTTTTTCATGGCGATTTTCAAACCTTTTGGGAAAAATAGAAAAGTAAATGATTGGATGGTAATGTTAGAGATTAAATTTCCCATGTTGAGGCATGCCACAATTGTAACTCACACTCCTCCCCTATTATGCCTATATATATATATATATATATATATATATATATATATATATATATATATAGGTATTTGTTTTTAACATACATATATATATATATATATATATATATATATATATATATAGGTGTTTGTTTTTAATATACATATATATATACCTAGCTACATATTGAAGACAGTTGATTACAATTATTTATATGTAATACAAAAATGTATAATAGAAGTAACTATGTGCAATCTAAAGAAATTGATAATATAGCTATTTTTTTTTCTGTAACGTAAATCGTAGCAGTAGGTAAAAATATTAAAAAAAGTTCGCTAAATATATTGCGTCAAAATAGCACAATGAATAAACAATGTGTACCCTAATACAAAATAATGAAGAAAATATTTCACAATCTTTAATGAGGTTTCTGAAGTTGCTTTTGTTTGGCAAGATTTTCGAAGAACTGAACTCAAAATGAGTTTAGTACAGATTCCAGTTTAACCTGTATAAGTTTCGTTGCTATAAAGAAGTTTATGAAAGGAATTCTATATACAAAATTTGGCCATTAAGTATTTTGTCTAATGTGTCTAATGAAAGGTCATGGAGATCATCATAATCATGAAACATCATCATATATGATCTATAAAATGAAAAATATCCAATTTGATGACACCAATTATAAACAATTAGCCTCAAAAATTACTTTTTATATTATTTTATTAATCTACTTAGTAAAAAATTATATTAAACATCTTTAATTGGATTGGTATTTGATGCTGCTTGCTTTCATACCATTCCGTTACTCTCTGCTGTGAATTCTCCACCGAGGCTGCAATGAGAAAAATATCTGGATACAGAAGAAACTGGATCTCCACTGATATCAGTTTGCCTTTTGCACCTAGTTCTGCGATAATTACTGTTACAAAAGTTGAACTTTCTTTGTTTACATCCTTGGGTATTATTTGGATAATCCTTACCTCTATCAGGTTATTTTCTTTACATGTCAGGATAATAATCGCAATTAGTTTGTACTTTTCTTTCACTCAGTTAACATGGAGTGGAGTGAAAGAAAACCGAATAGCCGTGATAGCCTTACACAAAATCGGAAAATGAAGGTCAGAGATTTTCAACACTTTGAAACCTTTGGGTATCAGCCATATGTTCGTTTACCACATTATAAATAGATATAATGACATCCTATCTGTATGTGACAGACCCCGACCGGACCCTCCCCATACTGTGAGAACGGCAAATGCAGTGAGAGCAGTGGCTGCTTGAATCAGAAGAAATCTCATTAAAAAACAACAAATCTCGGAAAATGGGAATCTATCAGATCAATGTCTCATTAATAAAAAGTGACCTTAGGATAGGTGCATTTCGAAGAATGATAGGACAAAGGCTTACCGCTTTCCTAAAAAAAATTAGAGTGGATACATGCAAAATGCTCCTTGGCCGTTACTCCAATGATCTTCATCAAAAGATTTTGTTTAGCGATGAGAAATTTTTTACAATTGAAGGCAAATTTAATCGCCAAAATGATCCTGTGTATCCTGTGTACGCACACAGGTCTAAAGAAGTCCAGGAAGTCATTGGAAGAGTAGAAGAAAGAGGTCATCACCCTTCCTCAGTGATGGTTTGGTGGGGAGTTTGCTTTGATGGCACCATAAAGCTCCATTCTTGTGAAAAAGGATTTAAAACAGCCGCTAAAAACTATCAGAACGATATTTTGGAACCTGTTGTCAAGACTCTAAATGATACTCTGTTTGCTGAAAGTCATTAGGTTTTCCAGCAGGAGCTGTTCCAGCTCACAAGGCTAGATCAACTCAGCAGTGGCTGCAAAAAATCATTCCAGAGTTCATCTCTGCCTCGGATTGGCCCTCAGGAAGCCCTGATCTCAACCCACTAGATTATCGGCTTTGATCCGAACTGGAGAGGATGGCATGCCACAGAGTACACTCTAAATTAGAAAGCCTCAACATTCTCTGGTACGAGCAGTTGCGCGCTTTCCTCAAGAAGTACAGCGTACTGCTATTGATGACTGGCCAAGGAGATTAAATGCCTGTGTCAAGGCAAAAAGGGAACATTTTGAGTAATTTCTTTGTTTTTTTACTCTCTATAGATATACATTTTATTTTCTACTAAAGTTTTTGAAAAAAATAATTTTTCTGTTGAAATCTGTATGTATTTTCTTGTAACAATATTTATGACAGGACTAGGTATATCGCTTCTGTTTCGTCCATGTATAGTTTGAATAGAAAGGGTCTTAGATTATAATCTTGTTTGAAACAAAAAAATGAAAAGTGAGATTTAGTCTCAAGCTGTGAAAAACAAGAAATTAACAGAGCTTATCTTTTAAAGTACTATGTCACTTGCCTCTTTCTTAAGTACTCCTTCGCTCAATATATTTCTACCAGTGCATTATTTTCACTGTTGGTTAGGGCAGCTCATAAAAGGAAATTAGGGTTCCTCCTAATAGTTGTATACAAAAGAAGAAGATGGAGTAAATATTAATAAAATTATTATGAACGTAGCAAGAAACATAGAACAGAGACAATCTATGTTGGATGCTTCCCAATACTAATAGACAATAAAAAGAATCAGATTGAAATTTACGAATTATAAAAGCTCTGTGTGTGAGTTAAACATTTTTTTTTCATACCTATTGCCATTATGATTAATTTTGTATCTTATTCGTTTGAATGATAAAGTTATGAAAAAAAAAAAAATAGATATGAATTACTTAAAAATTTATTATGACAAACAATTAAGGGTGTCAATTTGTTGTATTTCTTCTCCATAGTTTTATTAATGACGTTGGCCCATCCCCATTTCCTCCGTGATCTGAATCAGCATTTGTAATTTCTTTCAAAATGTTTTCTATCAGTAGCAGTTCAGACTTTGTTTCTAAAGCATTTTTGTAATTACCTACGGCATTTAAATGTTAAAAAAATTCTAAAATTAGTTACACAATTTTTATATGTTGTTTTGAAATATTTTTATTTAGCTAACTTAAATATTTTATTTATCTTCGAAGGAAACCCGCAGATACACTAAAATAGTTTTATTTTATTTTATTCATAAAAAATTGTATCAATAGACCCAATATTAATTTATTAAACTGTTACAGCCTTCTTAAGTCAACTTAGACGAGCTTAGTATTCATTTGTAGTGTAGGAGATCTTCCAGAGGCATTAACTATACTTGTTCAAATGACTAAAAACTCTGCTTGTGTTAAGATGGGCTTTTTAAAGCATAAACTTGTGCTATGATTGATATATCATTTATTAATATAAATACAACTAAAAACGCTACAAATTATTGCACACTGGTTTAAACAGTTCAAATGTGACATTACTATCCTTGTCACATAGAGGACAATAAATGAAAGGTGATTCCTAAAAATCAAAAACCAAAACAAAGCATTGCTGTAGAATATGTGGAAAATATATAGAACACCATATCTTTGCAACAGATCGTCTAGTTTCAGCCATTCTTTTTCTTTTCTTTAGGAAATTTAGTGAACTTTTAAAAGTCTATTGCAACACAAGTCTTTCAACCACCATCTTGAAAGAAAAGGGCAGATGATAATGCCGAGTTTCGAAGATCATCCTCTTTGCTTTTCTCAAAGGTACCCTTTGGCATTAATACCAAATCTCAAAAAACTTGGTCCAGTAGTCTTGGAGAAAAGCTGCTGATGGCCATATGTCAGAAAGGCAGGTCATTTTTTTTTATTTTCGGATTATATATTGAAATATAAAACCTTAGGGGGATTAACTTTTTTTTTTCTTGGTCAATTATTGAAAAATAAACCAAAATCTACATTTTTATAAATAAACGAAAAATGATCTGTGCTCAGTGTACATACTTGTATGTATGTATTCGACATACTACTGAGAATCGTTTTGCTGCTCTTTTACGAACTACATATGGCGACAGTTTTTTTTTTAAAGTGTTGTAAATCCCTAGTGAATTTTGAATTAATAGTTGTTTTGATTTGTAGATAAAAAGTCTAATCCATAGCCGAATTATTTTCAAATATCTGGATTGCCCTACACCTATTCAGTCATTTTATATAAAAGTTTTAAAACTCAATTCAGTAATTTTGTATAAAAGATTGAAAATTCTATTCCACTATTTCAGTTTGAGTATCTATGTTTTAATTTCAAACCCTTGATTTATGATGCTACTTTCTATGTAATACTTAATTTAAACTTGTTTGATTATTTTCAAGACTAAATTTTTAATTTTATTTCTAATAAATAGTTTAATTTTCTTCTCTCCCATCTCTTTCCCTGATAATTATTTTCAAAACATGACATTAAGTAATCTTAATGTTAATTATTTTTTATTGGTTAAT